CACAGATTGAGCATCTGTACCTTGTAGGAGTGGTTCTTGGGATAGATTTGGTCTTATTTCCAGGAGTGTCTTGACAACCTAGCTAAGCGTAGGAAAGGTTTGATCCCCGCTTACTTAGGTCTCTTGGAAAGTGTTCTGAAGTTACCATCTTACAGGGTCTGACTGTGTAGCCCAGGCTGGCCTTGAGCTGGTGATTCTGACTCTTCCTCCCAGAGCACTGAAACTACTGGTGCACACCACCGTGCTCGGCCTGGGGGTCTTTTGGGAGTGGACATTGGACACAGAGCCTTGCACTGCTGTGTGAATGTTCTACCCTGAGCTATGCCTGCAGCCCTTCAAAGCAGTTAGTTAGGGCCTGCAGTTTCCCCCTGGAGAGAAGGATGAGAGACCATTTACACCGGTCACATGTCTTGAAGTATGAGCTGCCTGTACAGCTATTGACAGTTAATTCACTTCTACTAAAGATGACTTTGTCATTTATGGAATATGCTGATGTCTTTTATTTGACCTCATGTTTCTTCCTTTCAAGCCTTCCCCTCATAGCGTCCATGGCATCTACTGCAGTCCTGCAGATGGAAATCCTATCCTGTTGACAGCTGGCTCAGACATGAAAATAAGGTGCCGTGTCTCAAAGACTGCTCTAGATTTAAACATGAAAGGATGCTTTGGTTTATAAAAGAGGTCCTCGGTGTTGGTTGTGTGATGTTAAACTCATCAGGACCTTGCCAGACAGCTATTGATGCCATGCTACTGATTCTAGCAAAATCTTTTCCTAATACATTAATTGTTTTTGTGTAAGCCAATAATATTAACTGTAGCTCTTACCACCGTTTATTTCCTCTCCCTTAGGTTCTGGGACTTGGTTTCCCCAGAAAGGTCCTATGTTGTAGCTGGAAGCGCGAGTCCTCCGTCTGTGTCCTACTACAAGAAGATAATAGAAGGCACAGAAGTCGTCCAGGTATGGGACTTGGTTTCCTCTAACACTGTGGGCCCGAAGATGGCTTTGACTAGGATTGATAATTGAAGGTTTTTTTAAAGACTGTCTTTCTTTCTGTGGTGGGAAGAATGGGCCAGGAGCCAGGGTCTGGCCCCGCAGCTGTTCGCTGTTCTTGCTTCTCGGTCCTCAGTGATGGGGTTGTACCTGGACACCATCGCACCTCACTCTCTCACGTTTAAACGTTTAAAGATGAATTTTATCACGGTATAAAAAGGACCAGGAAATACATTAAGAAATACTGCTTTCCTTTTACGAGTGAGAAGGTTAGTAACAGGTTACTAGGAAGGTTAGCTTTTGTCCCAGATTACATAGTTAACAGGAAATTGAGACCCCAGCATGGCCATTGACTCCCCACCTCCAAAAGCACGTGTTATTGACCTAGAGAATATGGGATATGCTGGCCAGAGTAGGCATTCTATAAGAGTGTTTAAAAACGCCAGAATATCAAGTGTATATCTCTATTCCTTCAATGTTAATGTGCACACAGACTTTGCTGACCCATTTATACAATCTAATGATTGGGGACCTCAAAGGTTACTCTGGATTTTTTCTCTCTGCTGCTTGACGACTTTAAACAGGTGTTAACTTCCTAGCTACAGGATACGTCAGGAGGTAGAATCCGCACAGGTTTAACTTGAAGCCTTTGTTTTGATTTTGGATTTCTAACAGGAAATTCAGAATAAGCAGAAGGTAGGACCAAGTGATGACACCCCTCGAAGGGGCCCAGAGTCTCTTCCCGTGGGACATCATGACATCATCACAGACATTGCCACCTTCCAGACAACTCAGGGCTTCATCGTGACTGCTTCTAGAGACGGGATTGTGAAGGTGTGGAAATAATCCTGCGGACTTGTAGAAAATGTTGTAAAAATTATAAATGTACCATAATTCAAGAAAAGGATTTCTGGAGAACATGGTTTTTGAAGTGTCTGGACTACTGTTTCATGGCTAAACAAATCTCAGCCACCGTGGGTAAGGCTGACAGGGCACACTTATTCATGTGCATCTCTGAAGAGTTGGCCAGATAGCACAGTCTGGAAGTTCTCACTGTATATGGAACAGGTGAGGAATGTAAAAAATGAAGATGAATATGATGTCAGTTTATTTTGTATGGAAAATGATTATAAGCTATTATATAAACATACTTTTGTTATTATAAATGCTATTCAAACTGCAAGTAAATCTATTCAAGCATCCTGAGAATTGGGGCGTGTTGGGGCAACATTACAGTAGTAAACAGAAGCAGGGATGAACTATGACGGGGGCTGTTGCTCCTCTCCTACAAGTGTAGTGGACAGTGGCCCTGAGTCGAGTTCCTGTGCATCAGCTCGAGAGCAGTGTGGCCCTGCCTGACCATCATTGTTCTAGGCTCTACCAAAATCCCATCAATGTGTTTTCCAATAGAAATTACTTAATTAATGCACAAACAAGAGAATGCTCCAGTTAAAAACATGTCAAACTTTCTAAGGTCCATAGCTGCTTTTCCAGTCAGATAGAACTTTGGAAGACAACCCAATTCTCTTCACCTTAAAAAGGGCTTATGGTGTTCAGAATATTCTAATTTGAAGTTAGTTTGAGGACAAATGCAGCTGAGTTGTAAATACCACGCACATTTTCATAACCCTCTGTTCTATACAGACCCGCTTGGTTCCCGACAGTTGGCATGTCCCGTTTCTGGATGGCTTAGACTGCAGAGGTGTGACGAGATGCCAGTCATTCAGAAGGTCAAAGTTGGCAGTGTTGGCTCTGACTGGAGTTGTAGACTTTAGGGGCTTGGCATGGTCACTGCTCAGTTGTACATCTTGTGTGCTAAGACCAGAGAGTTGTAGGGGGTGCGCGGGAGGGTTGTCCCATGGCGAATGGGCCTCAGGCATGGAGCAGTTGGGTAACGGAGTGTTTGGCAGAGACCTGGCCTCATCCTCCATTTACTCCCCATTGCTCCCACACGTGTCCTACAAGTCACCCTCTTTGAAAGAAGTATTTCCCTGAATTGGTTCTGACGCGTGGTCTCGTGCTAATGGGCAGCAGACCCACTGTGGTCAGTTACAGGTATTTTGAAGCCCAGTGCACCAGTGGTGCTGACTGTTTCCCGACTTAACTTCAGCCTTACTACATTTAGTCAACTTAGTTTTTTCCCATTTCTACTTTTTGGAGACAGAAGTCATAAATCTAGGGATTTGAGGTCTTAAAAGTTTTAATTTGTCTGTACGTGTGTATGTGTGGTACCCTGGAAGTCCAGATGAGGGCGTCTGATCTCCTGGAGCAAGAGTTACAGGCAGCTGTGAGCCTGGAGGGCTGGGAACTCAACTCCTGCTCTTGGAAGGAGCAGCCTCTTAACTGCCAACCCATCTCTAATGCCAGGGACTGACTTTTCAAAAAATGAATGATTTCAGCAATCTTCAGACCTTTAATCTGCTAAGGATTAAAAATATGGCCCCAAATGCTAAAATAATTTTAATCAAGTAATTTTTTAAATGTACTGTAACTTACCAACACAGAAAAAATAGACATTTTCAAAGTATCTCCAACAATAAGTATCTGTTCAACCAAAGTTACTTAGAAAAGCCCTGCTTTTAAAAGCCCTCTTAAATATTGCTCAGCAATTTCCCGTGATGAATCTTCCTGAGCCTCGGAGCACCTTTAGGATACATGAAGCCGACGTGCACCTGAGTACAGACTGGCTGTCACTCCCAGGCCTCATGCTCCTCAGAGGTTCTGGGAGCTGTCCGCATGCAGTTGCCTGGGAGTGGTGGCACAAAGGTTCTAAAGGAAAAAATACTGCCCATGGTTCGTGCTTCCAGATTCCCTGAACAGAGGTACCGAAAGAAAATCTGAACACACTCTGCTGGCCTCTGGTGTCAGTAACTACTTTCCACACATCCACACACAGCTTCCTTTCTGAAGACCGACATTCCGCCTGGTGGCGCCATCACTGCCAGCTGGAGAGCCAGCTGTGAACCGAGGTGAGGTTTGAACAGTGAACATAGTGCCGCTTTGATGTTTAGTTGTTGAAATAGCCTCATCCTAAGAATAAAGGAATGGGTGGGGATGGGAGACGAAGCCATGATGGAATACTAGAGAGGCTGGACTCTAAGACGTCCTGCTGACTTTACTCTAGCCTCTGGTGTTTGATCAAGTTTCAGGGGTTTTCTTACACCCCAAGCTCAGTGCCATTTAAGTGTCACTCTGAGCTCTGCCAGTCCTGTTTGGTGCTGCTCACTGTGGCTCAAATGCTTGCTACCCAGTGGGTAAAGCAACTCAGAGCCCAAATCATGGCACTGTGTGTTGTCAGTCTTCCTGTCTGGGGAACAAATGGACTGGTAAAGGTTTAATAAATGACCTTAGCAGAGAGCCCTGAGACAGGTTGCCAGGAAGTCCCGAACAGAACGCGGAGCCCAGGAGCGTGACTCGGGTTCCCGGAGAACCGGTGAGTTTCTCAGAGTTTAGGAAGAGCGAGAGCTGGAGAGAGCCACTCCCTGCTTCCTACCAGACTAGGCAGACAACTCTAGGAGGCCAGAGGCACAAGCCTGCCCCAGGCCAGCCAGTCTGCCAAGACAATGCTGAAATGGAAGTCAGGAAGGTGAGATTTCCAAAACCAGGACATACAAACAGCATCAGTTTCTTGGGTGAATGTTTGAGAACTCCACGACATTAAATGTCTGATAAAACAGATGAACATTAAAGGGGCAGCTTGGAAAAGAGCAGAGGGTTGCAATTTAAAGTTTACATGCATACATTGCTAAAATATCAACTTCAAAATTAGGTCTCCATTCAACATTTCAAAACACAACCTTCAATCTTCCATCTCCTAATGGTAATAGTTCCAACTATCATTCTCAGAGTGCTGGGATTGTCTGTCAGGAGTCGTCAAGTAAACCTACAAGATTCACCTTAATACCGTGAGTGTAGGGGTCGAGGTACCTGATTGTCTCCAGCCACGGACTTGTTTTTCCTCTGGAGCAGCCATCCAGATGCTGGTGTGCAGCCGGTTAAGTACCTCAGAGTTCAGGAGTGGGTTTGGTTCAGAGTCAGACCATGGCTAAATCCCCAAGGCTTTTCGATCACTTCATTTGCCATGTGCAAACGTAGCTTTGGTCACCCCTTTCCCGTGTTTAAAGGTATAGAATCTGCTCCTGGAAAGACTTGAAATAGCATCTCGGCCCCGTCTCAGTGCACTTGAAAGACGTTTTTTATCTTGAAAGAGCTTTGCTGCCTCCGATGCGTGCTCTTTGAGGATAGCTCTCTGTGGTTCTGAGACATAGCTGCACAGCAGAAGAGAAGAGTGTGAGGAAGCCCTCCCGGCTCCCCATTTCCCTTTCTTCCTCACTGCACCCCCTCCAGGGTAACTTGTAAGAATCTCTAAAGTAGAGGTTTACATTGGTCTACCGTAGTGCTTCTAAACCTACCCAATGCTGCAACCCTTTAATACAGTTCCTCTTGCTGTGATGACCTCCCCCCCCCCGCCAATTCCATTGCTACTGCATAACTGTAATTTTGCTACTATTATGAATCGTAATGTAAATATTTGATATGCAGGATATCTGATATGTGACCCCAAGGGGGTCACAACTCACAGGTTGAGAACCACTGGCCTAGCAGAAATTAACAAATTTAACATCTTAAAGTATGCAGAAGTGTAATTCCAGTGTCAGAATTTCTCCTTCGTGGAGCACATTCCATTCCAGATTTCCACGTGGTTGGTCTTGCTAATTACTGACACTTTGGGTCAGACAGTGCCTCACCTATTTCCCAGTTCCTCTCGCCCTCCCTACCTTTCAGTAGACACTTATCTTCCTCATAACTCTTAGCATGGTCAGAGTCTTCCACGTCTTATAGACAGCTTCATGACCTGCAGTCCACACTTCTACCACCCAGGGTAAGTTTCAGGGGACAGCACCACCTCCCATAGTCATTCTCAGTGTTTGTCTAGTGTCGGGCTGTGTGGATGCCACTCTCCCTCCCACCATCTGCCCTGCAGAAGGCAGGTAGGTGTGTTATGGACGACACAGATCACAACAGAACTGTTTGGCGGGTGCATAACAAGTCCTGGGGTTAGGAGTACCCCCCAAAACAAGCAGCTAAAGCAACAGCTGCTGTCAAGTCTTGTTGCCATGGTTCTCATTTGGGTACAAAGAGAATGAAGTATAAAGAGGTGACAGTGGCAGAGCTACAGCTGTACCCCACCATCCCTAAGTCTAAGGCCAGGGTGAACGTGCGCTGAATTAGACTTTTACTTAAGACATTATTGCAAATTCAAAATTCTTGGAATTGTGGTCAGGAAAAGTCAAGATCAGAACTGTGGAATCCATTCTGGTCTGCTTTACGGCCACCCTGCTAGCTGTAAAATGCACCCAGCCTCTCACAAACACCAGTGTGCAGAGAACGAGCACAGCGGGAAAATACAGGGAAGATGTGGATTTTCCGTGTCTTGAGTGCATGCACACCCTGCCAGAGGCCCACCTCACACCGCTTCCTTTTCTTTCGTCTAGAAAGAGTGAGGTGGCAGAAACAAAGAAGACCATGCCACCCACAGACTAGCTCTGCCTGAGCTTCTGACACGGCTCATGGTGTCCCTCAGTCCTTCCCACCTATGCTTCTGGAGACAAAGTTGACCGAGCACCCAGGAGTAGGAACAGCAGCCATGGCTCAGCAGCAGCCTGCAGTCTCCTCACACCTGCCCATTTCCACACTAAATATTACAAATTGGATTTTCCCAAGTCACAATTATCTATATGCATAGAACATGATTATTGATCATGGAAGAGGAATTCTTTTAAATAGCTCTGAAGAGGAGGATAGTTGGAGATAGGTGCTGTGAAGGGGGATGGGAAATGGGGTGGATTTTTAACTGGGGGTATGTGATAATGCGAGGGGGGAAGAAGGTGAGAGAAAAAAGTTTTGAAAAAACATACAGGGACATTTCATAAGTGTACATATATATATGTGTGTACATATACATGTTTTGTGTGTCTATATTTTAATGGTCTTACAACACGGGGTGATGGTGCTATCCCCAAGAGCTATGCCCCATCTAGCAAAAACCGCAGTCCCAGGCTAAGGGAACCCCCCTTCAAGTTGTTGGTCAGGAGAATACAAGTTTCCCTAACAATATGAGCTGTTGCCGATGTTCTTGGTTGCCTATGGAAACTGAAGTTTAGAGCCTATTGCCGAGATGCCATGCACTTTGGGCGCGGGACTTGGAGGAATTTGGCTGGAACTGATCTGGAAGCCTTCCTCAAGAACAGCTCTTAGTAGTAAAAGGTGCTATGCAAGCTACTGAGAGAGAGGAGCAGTCCTACCCACTGCCTGTGAGCCACAGTGACTGGGCCACCAAGCTATCTCGGATGGTGCAGTAATGGCCCCCTTTGTTGGATGACCAACAGCTATCTAACTGAACTTAAGGCCTGCTCAGTGGGAGAGAGTTCACACTTATTACTGTAGACCAGGCCACCTACCCATGGCTGGAGAGGTCACAGATTCCAGAGGAGAATGTTCTACTGAAATTTCCTTAAACTAATACAATTCCTAACCTAAATGTTTATTTTTATGCCGATAGAAGAATATCGCTCAGCCTCACCAAAGAAGCTGCTTTCTGCAGCAGAGACTGCTATAAAGATCCACAATGCTTCAAGTGCAGAGAATAAGTCAGTGGGGTACCCAACCCCAACAGATCCATCTGCAATGCAATCCCTGTGCCTCTCCTGGAACACTGTAAAAGAGAGGGTGGGGAGATTTTAAGAGCCAGAGGATCAGGGTGCCTGCTCCTACATAGCGCCCCCTAGACATGGCAGTGGAAATGCACACACGATCTCTCAACAGTATGCTTGCAGGAACAAGTCCCGCATCCTGACAACAGTGGAATGTCCACGTGCATGGGCAAACTACACAAGCTCCCGCCCTTGGGCGGAGAGCTGCAGGGGCCGATGGCTTCTGAGAGTGGGAGAAACAGCTTCCTCCAGGGACAAGCTCCCTCAGAGGTTCTCCAATCCTGAGTGATCAACCCTGCACACGTACATATGGCCAAGGTTAAGTGGACCCAGAGGTTGCTTATGTATGTGTGCATATAGTGTGTAATTTGTGTAACAAGAATTCGTGGATTTGGGAGGGAGGATTTGGAAGGAGTTGGAGGCGTGAAGCGATGTCGATGCAGTACTTGTGAGTGAGATTCTCTAAAGACTTAAAATTTCCATGTATTTACACCATGCGTTTTTATTATATTCATCCACCACTACCCTCCAATTTCCTTTACTACCCCCATCCCATTTTGTTCCCAACTTAATGTCCTTTTTTGTTATTAATAATCCTTAGCCCAAATAGTGCTGCCTATATGCACATGGGTATGCAGCCATCCCTGCATGGGACCTGTACACCATCCAGTGTCACTTCCCTCCCTGCAAGGGATTTCTTTTGAGTCTCAAGTGCACTGTTCTCTCAAGGCTTGGTTCTCTCCGTGTATGTCATTCTCCTTCCTCTCCCACCTCCTTTATTATTTTACCTCTCTTAGCTTTGTTAAAGAAACAACAGCTAGAGAGAGTTTGTTCCCAAGCACCCGCTTAGGGCAGCTCACCTGTCTTACTCCAGCTCCAACACCTTTGGCCTCTGAGGGCACCCACACTCATGTGCACATACTCACCACTGGCTATGCATGCATATATTTAAAAATCTTTAAAAAAAATCATTAGCTTGGCAATACTTTTAAGCCGGATCCTGGTACCTTTTTCTCTAAAGGGTCAAACACATTAAAAAGCCTTTTTGTTGTTGATGGATTTGTATGTGTGTTCCCTGCAAGTGTGTGTGCACCTCTGGATGCACATGTGGATTTGTATGTGTGTATGTGCACCCGTGGATGCACATGTGGATTTGTATGTGTGTTTCTGCGTGTGTATGTGCACCCGTGGATGCACATGTGGATTTGTATGTGTGTCCCTGCATGTGTATGTGCACCCGTGGATGCACATGTGCAGGTCAGAGCACACCCTCTGGAATTGCTCCCCAGGCAGCGTCTATCTTCTGTTTGAGACAAGGTCTCTCACTGACTGGTAGTAAGTGGCCTATGGGTGTCCAGGTCCTGTTGCACCTGCCTCTCATATGGGTTCTGGAGATTCAAACTCAGACCCTCAGTGTTTACAAGGCAAGTGTTTGCATACTGAGCTCATGCCTTCTCTTCGGGTCTCCTTTTTCTACTATGTTATAGATGGACATCTGTATTTGCTAAAGCATTTGATAAGGATCACTTGACTACCTAGTGTTGTTTCTGTCTTTCCTGTTATGTCTTGTTGAAGGGAATTCTTTGCTGATTGGTAACTCCAACCACAGGCGTTCTGGGCAGAAATAGGATGAAATTATTCAATTTTTCAACTTGAGCCCTAGTAAAGCTTGTAGAAAGCAAGATGTGGCATGTTCTAGATAAAAACGGGGGACAGGTGGGGACTAACTGTAGATCTCCGTTCTTTGTGGTCACAGATTCCCCATCTGTGCAGATAAACAGGAGACAGCTATGCTATACTTGATGACTGGAGGCACCGAGCTGAATGACGCAGATAAGGCCATTTCTATTTAGAACTCTTTTGATGGTAATAATCGTGCACTTTGGAAGGCAAACATGCGGCAGTGGTGGCTGTCGGTTCATGCGGCAGTGGTGGCTGTCGGTTCATACGGCAGTGGTGGCTGTCCATTTTTACCATCCACCCTTCCAGGCTCTGCTTGCCCGTTTGGGAGTCTGGCACAGTATGTAGGTGGCGTTGTGTCTTTTACTATCTTGGAGCAGAGCTAAGTGCTTACACAAAGCTGTCCTGCAGTCTCGCCCTCTGGCCATCTGTCTTCGTGGTTGCTGGTGGCGAGTGTAGGGGCCCTTCTTCTCCATCTGTTATGGAACAGCTTCTGTGTGTCTTTCCCAAAACCTCTACTGCAGACTGATCTAACAGTTCCAGTGCGGTTCCCTCTCAGGATGGCAGGTATCTCCAGTGCGGGTCACTGTCAGGATGGCGGGTATCTCCAGTGTGGGTTACTGTCAGGATGGCGGGTATCTCCAGTGCGGGTCCCTCTCAGGATAGTGGGTATCTCCAGTGCAGGTCACCCTCAGGATGGCAGGTATCTCCAGTGCGGGTCCCTCTCAGGATGGCGGGTATCTCCAGTGCGGGTCACTGTCAGGATGGCGGGTATCTCCAGTGCGGGTCCCTCTCAGGATGGCGGGTATCTCCAGTGCGGGTCACCCTCAGGATGGCGGGTCTCCAGTGCGGGTCACTGTCAGGGCATCCAGCTGGCTGCACCTTGTGTCTCCCAGGCATTCTATTCTCCTCAATCCTGTGTTTCTTTCTGCCTCCCTCCTCTGGAAAGGTCGAGGCACGGAGCTTCAGAGGCACCTGTGTGGCTGCTTTCATCACAATTTTTGGTTACTTAGAGAAGGCCTGGGGAGTTCTGGGTGGTTACACCATCAGGGAGTTCACAGACTGGTATAAATTTCACATCCCTATTCCTTGATGCCCCAGCCACTTGACTATTTTAGATTCAGGGGAGAAGCTGAGCCTCTTGTGTATCTAGGACACTGGAGAAGGAGAAATTACCTGTCCAAAAGCCCTGTGGATCCTCTTCTCCCCACTCATCTTGCTCTTCCAACAAAGCAGTTTCTAGAATTGCCTCTTGAGTGTGTAGTAGGTTGGCTCTGACACCTGCCTTTGTGCTCTGAGCTGGCTACATATTTGTGAAGCCCAGTGAAGAACAAAAATTCAAGCCTGAGTCAAAAGGCAGAATAAAAACTTTTTCTTCTATGGATGTCCCCTCTCCCTGCCCATGGCAATTTTTCATTTGTCATTTAACACTGAGCTCTGGCACGGGGAAGCACAACCCTTCTGGTGACCCCATCCCACGTCTTGGCCTGCCATCCTCTAGACAGATGGCCAGAAACCGAGCCCCTTTCCTCCGCTATCCTAGCCCCTGGATACACAGTGCCCGCAAATATCACCACCTTCTTGCCAGGAATGCTGATTGGAGAGGAACAAAGACAAATGTAGGGATGTCACCAGCTCAAACTGGTTCCCAGTACAGAGTTCCTGGCCACAAGCCTCCTATGAAGAGAGTGGAGAAGAAAGACCGAGTAAACCAGAAGATGCCACAGTGGCTGGTTCAGGGGAGGCAGCAATAGGGAGATTGCAAGTGAGCACAGGCTAAATCCCGAGGGCTTCATCTTTCCATCGCTTAGAAAACCCGATTTCAAAACTAAGAGCAGTTGCAGAGAACAACGCCTACACACACAGCCCCCCAGAATGCCTTGAGGCTGCTTTCGCACCTGCCACTCCTTCCTCAGCCTTTTTACCCCAGCCATAAGGTTTCCTCCTCCACACCAAAGTCAGTCGGCTCACCCATCCAGTCATAGCCGATCCCTCTTCCTCAGTTCCGGGCACTTGCAGTAGGGGGAGCCCTACTCTTGTACGGACTTCATAGGTTGCTTCAGGCTGGACTTCAGGAAGTTTTTGCTGCTGGACAGTTCCCCTGGATCTCTTACTGCTGTAGGGGAGCTGGAGCCTCCAGACAGGGGTTTCTGGGGGATTCTTAGCACCTAGGCTGGAATGATTGGCAGCCACACAGACTAGAATGCACACACTTCAGGGGAGGCACAATGCCAGCGATGTCTGTCTAAGTGTGAGTCAGGTGATGGTGTTTGATTGTGGCCAGTGTATTATTGTGTATTGGTTCACTGTGGCTTACCGCAGAACTGCTGCTATCTCTCTGATGGCTCAGTGGGTTAAGACCTTGCTACACAAGCTTGAGGACTGGAATTCAGATCCCCAGAACTCATGAAGGTGTGTTTAACAGTCTGCCTGTAATTCCATCATGGCAGGGGATAAAGACAGGGAATAAAAACATCAAGCTACCTCATGGAGGGAATTTGCTTATATATATTCATATATATAATATATGTATATGAATATATATAATATATGAATATATAAGCAGGCTGATCAAGGAAGACATTTGAGGTCGACATCAGGCCTCTACACATACGCACATGTACACATCCATGCACACACGCATACAACACACACACAAGCAAAGACGCATCTAAGTCTGGGTTTGCAACCGTCATACATGTTATTTTCAGATTCTCTAGCAAGCTTCTCGTAAAGACATTCTTTCCTGCACACCAGGACGCCCAAACGTTCGTTTCAATCACTTCAATTGTCCACACTCAAATTTCCCCTGATGTTCTCCAAATCACTTTTATATAGGCTTTTTTTTTCTTCCCTCTGATCTAGGATCCAATTAAAGTTCACAGAATTACAGTTGGCTGCCCTCGCTTTAGTTCTCTCATTCCAGAACCCTTCATCCTTACTTATCCCTTTATTCATAAGACCTATGATCTAATAACTCCACGTCCTGGGGTTGCCCAGTGATTTCCTCCTCATTAGCCTCAGGTCAAACATTTCCAGCAAGAACTTCACGCGGGTGATGCACTGCATGTTCCAACCCATCACCTCAGAATGTACATAATACCAGCACCGCAGGGGCCATGCGGCACAAGCACCTGTCCACTAATGATTGTTGTAACCTGATAACCAGTCATTATATTTGTAAGTAGCGTTATGATTACAAATTGGTGACCTTTTTCTTATCCAACATTCTAGATTATCTAGTATATAAAGAAAAGGTTTTTCTCTATCCTTCTTTTTGAGAATGTGTATAGATTTATAGATTTAAACCATGCAATGTGGGCCCAGCAAGATGGCTCAGCAGATAGAGTACTTGTTGTGCAACCTGATAACTCAGGTTAGACTGCTGGATCCCACAGTGAATGCTAGAGAACAGCTCCCCAAAGTTAGACTGCTGGATCCCAGAGTAGATGCTAGAGAACAGCTCCCCAAAGTTAGACTGCTGGACCCCATGGTGAACACTAGAGAACAGCTCCCCAAAGTTAGACTGCTGGATCCCAGAGTGGATGCTAGAGAATAGCTCCCCAAAGTTGTCCTCTGACCGCCACACACACACGCACATGCACGCACGCACGCGCGCGCGCCTTGATCATGCACATGCCATGCATACAGTAATGCATTAACTGAGCCACTCAGTGCATTCTAATCCATCGCCTTCATTCTTTCTGGAGTTGCAGCTGTCCAAGATTAGGCCCATGGGAATCATGTCAAACCAACTCACTTAACCTTTTGACACGACACTGTTAGTTTTGTTTTGTTTTTTTCATACTGTTTTTGCTTTCTGGAATAACTCTGGAATGTCTCAGGCTGGAATTGGAGTTTCCTCACCAGATCCTGGACATGTCTCAGGCACCAAGAAACCCTGGTTCCTTTGAATGCACAATGCTGTTTGGAAACCAAGATCTGGCCACTGGGCATGCTCATTGCCACTGGGATGTCCCACTGAATGCTTTGTTTCAATAATTAAACTTGTCATTTAAAATAATAAAAATACTATTTTGTTATTTCCAGATCAACTTGATGGATTTAAAAAACATCTCTTGCTCCCTTAAATCATAATATGTAGAACAGATTTATGTCTGGCTAGAATGGGCGAGGGGAGAGGGAGAAAAGGAGGATAAAAATAAAGACTAAGGAGGGGTACACATCCACCTGTGAAATCACACCAAGCACACGGTACCTTTGAAACTGGTGTGAGCGTAGCTTCGAATCTGGAGGGCTGAGTCTGCTGCATTTGGCTTTGAAGTTGACAGGCGGGTACTTGTTCATCCCACCTAGAGACAGAAAACAGGCCTGGGTAAGGCTGTCACCATGTCTGTCCCTTGCAGTAGCACTTCATTTCCCAGCGTCCATCAAGATGGTCACCAGGCGTGAGAAATGTCTCAGGGAAATCCCCAAGCTAAGTTTGGAGAGAGAGGTCTCTAGTGAACATATAGGCAAATGCAAACAGCTTTTTACGGAGATGCCTGTCGCTCCTAAAGTCATTTAGCCGTCATGAGCCAGTCAGTCCGAATAATCCTCTTGTCTCTGATAGGAACTAATTAGAGTATTTTATTTGTTTTTGTGGAGTATGAAAATGCAAAGGGAACCGGGTAGTCCCTTTATGGCCTTTATGTTAGCAGCAAACTAAGTGCCTTTGGGTTTAATTCATCGCCTCATTTCATTTGGAAGAGTATTATTTTTTCATAACACTAAAGCATGCCTTAATCCACTTAAAAATGCAAAAGCTATTTTTTTACAGGAAAAAAATTTTAAAATGTGTTATACATGCCCTGAAGGCATGAAGTAAAAAAAGATTTGTTAAACAAATATCTTTCTGGAAAAGCCAGGCCCAGCGTCGAGCACTTACAACGCTGGCCCTGGAGAGGCAACCTTAGAGGTAGCTAGATCCTCAGGACTCACTGGCTAGCCAGCCAGCCTACTTGACAAGTTCCAGGCCACTGAGAAACCCTGTCTCAAAAATTGCCTGAGGACGACAACTGAGGCTGTCCTCTGGCTCACAGGCACATTGTCTCCCTCCCTCCACTCCTCACTCACACCCCTTCCTGGTGCTGCGTGGGTCTTCCAGCTAACAGGCGTTTCCTGGGCTGTAACAGAGCCTGCCCTCAAAATTGCTATTACAGGAAGGGCAGTATGTGGTGATATGACCCAATACTGTGCTGTACCTAACCTTTAGGGTATTTTTTTGTTGTGTTGTGTTGTGTTTTTTTGAGGAGGGTCTTTCTGAGTGGCTTGGCCTGGCCTTGGGCTTACAACAATCCTCCTGCCTCTACCTCTCAAGAACAAGAATTACCTGTGTGCACTGCACCCACCAGGTCTGGCTTTGGGTTTTCATGTCTCCTGTGAACTCTAAGGAGAGAGTTGTTGAGCTGCTTCCCTAAGGAAATGTACTGCCCTGATGTGGCCCCTGCTTTGCTGTCTGATTTATGGCAATGTGCCAAATGAATCCAACACTCCCACAGCTTCCAGAACTTCAGAAGGGAAGCAGACTACACTGCTCCTTAAGCCTGACACCTGAATAGTGGCTCAAAGTAGGGGGCCAGTAATTCAGTTGTGCTGAAAGAGTGTGACCATGGGGGCTGTGGCGGAAGTGGCTTCCTGCAGTTCTGCAGCTGTCTTTTAGAGATGGTGCCTTCTAGACGTCTAGAAAGCTCTGGAAATAGAATAGCTAGCTACCTTGTAGCCAGAGTTTGAGAGTGCTTTCCGTAGTTTCCAGGAGAGCTACCTGCCCTTTCCCTGAGGGCAGGGCGAGGTGCTGCCTTATCTGGTCATGTGATTGGGTGCATTAGCATGAAACATCAGGAAGGATTAAGGGATCCCAGGAAGGAGCTCCCAGGTATTCCAATCTCCAGGGGCCATCAAATATACTTCTTTTTACCAACTGGTCTTTTGCTCATCCCTTGTAAAAGGCTCCCTTCAGGGTGACACCTTGCCCTTAGCTCATTATGGGAATTTCTGTTCCAGAACATTTCAAAATAAACTTCACTCTGGGGTCTCACTCTCCCCATACCTGTGTCTCTGAAACCATCTCATATATGTGAATTTCCTGGGAGCTCGGATAAGATGCACATTCTGGTTCAGAACATCTGGGTGGAGCCTGAACCCCGCATCCCTAACCAGCTCTGACTGTTCATTCTCATCCTGGATTCACACCGGACAAGATGTGGCATCAGCCTCATCAGTAGTCTCTCTTGACCTGCACTCACCCACTTCCCGGTTTAATACAAGTTTGGGAACTAGCAGGCAGGGACTCAGTCATCCTTCAGCCTGTGTTTTCCCTTTTCTCTATCTGGACTCCTGGGGACAAAAACACTGAGACATCAGCCCATTGCGTTTCCACCTTCAGTCTTGTATCCGGCCATGGCTCCTCCTTAGCCGTCCCGCTGCATCCAAAATGGATTGCGTATTTTTCAGATTGCCCACATTTGTTTCCTTATGGGAGCCACTGGTTCTCACCACTGGATCCTAAGAGGCCATGAGGCTGGGAGACAGTTGTGCGAAGCCATGCCGACAAAATGGCATCCACTCCCAGCTCTGACTCTGGAACTTGCCAAAGCGAAGCCAAGAATTGTCTGATTCTTTCTTTGGCTTCTTTGTGTTAACTGTGGAAACCTCACACTAAGGGCAGTATGCTAGTGTCACGTGACAAGGGTTCTGCTCTGGAGCCAGAGTCCAGGCTGTGACTTCACATCCCCAGACTCCACCTCTCCATGCAGACAGATGTGTGGACAGCTGCTTGTTTTGATTGCTTCTCCATAGGAACCAGCGGCATAAAAAAGATGAGCCAGAAAATTAAATGCTTAGAAACCAGGGCCGTCCCTCCCGCCCTCCATAGTCACACATTTCCCTCTCTGATCTGCAGTGCCCTTGAAGACAAACCAGAGGTGTCAAACCAAGGGCATGCGCCAGGTCATTGCCCTTCTGGAGGATACTAAGCAAATGCTAATGTACAGGAAGAGTTTTGTATGAATGACTTACGCCTGACGGAGTTTATAAAGGACTTCACAAACTTCACACCATATCCATGGTCAGGTTTATGAATCCGGCCAAGCTGAATCAAGTGCTGGTCCACAGGGTGGCTGGCCAGGTCCTCCAGTTCCTTGTCATTCCAGTCAGGGCCCAAGGAAAACACAAAGAGGGCATAGCCCTGGCATTTGGCTCGTAGGGACTCTTTCTTTAAGGTGTCCCCGTCCAGGTGGCTGGTTTCCCCAGCCGATATCACAAATATGACTTTGTTTCTCCTCAGGTTGGGTGTGTTTAAAAAGACATTGTCCAGAGCCCACCCGAGGGCGTGGCCAGGGAAAGTGTCTCCGTTCAGCTGCTGCACTGCTTGCTCCACGTGCCTCTTCATGAGGCGCTTGCTGCCGTAGGTGGTTAGGTTGAACTCACTTCTAACTGGACTCCTCTGGCTGTGGGGTAGGAAGTTGGGGGGAGCATGGCTCAGTAGGGCCACCCTGTCTCCAGTGACAGATGTCTCTGGCTCGGGAGTGACCTCGAAGTGATCTAGCAGTGCTTCCAGGAAGTCTCTCATGTCTTCGAATTCTGCGCTCCCCACGTGCCGGGAGCCGTCCAGCATGATGGCAGCATCCAGGTAGGACTGTGCCGGGGGTGGTTTGCCTTGGTCACAAGCAGCATCCGGCTTGCATGGGTCTGCAAACCAAGTCGTTTAGAGTTACTAAACAGATACGGACAAAAAGTGGAAAGATTCCACTCTGGCTATTTGAGCATCTAGGAACTACATAGTCATAGCGCATAAAATAATTGTCCTTAACACCAAGAGTAAGCGTTTACCACCAAAAGGTCCAGATCTGATACCAACCCAGGAGCCTCTGACTCTGTTCCATACCACCAATTGTTTTAAGTTGTATTCTGTCTATAAAGTTTTAAGTGAGAAATTCATCTCCTACATTCTAGAACATACTGTAAGAACACACTCCTTAGCTGTTGACAGTATGCAGGCTAAGCCAAGGGCCTTAATCACTACACTAGCTGTGAAAAACTCCTCTGCTTTGAAAATTAAGCTTTAAAAGGCAATGGATCTCTTATTTCAATTTAACTAAGAGTTCACAACTTCATGCCCCTTCTAAAAAAGCTCTTCCATAAAGTGAAGTCATTTTTATACATACGCCTCTCTCATTATGCATGCATAGCAGGAGAAAAGCAGAAAGTCAGTTTTATTGAATGTGACCACAAAGAATGCTCAGAGGAATATGATAAATGGGAAGTGGGATAATTCTAGAAGTCACTTAATCTATTTTCATAGAACCAGCTGAAGCAGGAGAGAAGTCATTACGAAGGATGCACCGTATTTCTAGAAGTTTCCATATATGGAGTCTATGGCAGTTTCTTTTCAACGTTTACTTATTTGTGTACACCTGTGTGGAGGCAGAGGACGACCTTCAGGGGTCAGCCCCCTCCTTCCACCTGGCTTCTGGGGATTGAACGCAAGCTGTCACGATTGGGGACAAGCACCTTTACCTGCTGAGCTACCGTGTAGGCTGCACGAGTCAGTGTTTTATTGTTAGATGGTTTCAGAAGCCACTTAATTTAGTTTAACAGAACTGACTGACGCAGGACACATGAGGTAGCAGGATGGCCCCTTCGCCTGAGAGCTGGGATACCTAGGTTCTTATCACATGACAAACATGGTATCATCTTGGCCAAGCCACAGTTGAGCACAGTTCCTCTGCACAACTGAGGAGGTAGCTATACCTGACTGGGATCAGGCTGACCCAGACACCTTTGCAAGGCTGACAGTAAATGTGATGTCTGAGGGGGGAACGCATTCTTGAAAATTCACAGGGGCAATGGACAAATGGGATAGCAAGCATGCAGATGGAACTTAGATACCAGCATGGACCACAAGCATCAGCTATTAAGTGGAAAACTTAGTGACTAACATGAAGGTTCTGTGGGTGTAACAATCGTCCTAATTTCATGCTTGCTCATGGACTCAATAAAGTTAGCTTTGCCTATGTCCCTTCCTGAAGTTTAGTGAAATTTTATGACTCTGCATAATGGTCAGATGACAGAATCGTCACCTGTGTGCAGAGCAGTTTCTAAAATTAGGGACAGCAGGCTGCCCATTTTCTCTGCTTTGTGGGGTTTTTAATTGCAGGAAATGATAGCCAGATATCTTCCATTATATGCGTAGGAGACAAAACAAGGGTTTAAGCCAAGGCATAGAGCCAAAAATCTCTCCCCAGTCACACGTGTGCAGTTACTGACTGTGCGGCACATCAGCACACAGCTGGAACTGACTTGTTCAGGGGTGCAATGAAGAATGGATAGGGTAGACAAATCTTAGTGCTTCAGCGGTGTGGGGTGGGGGTGGGCGACAGGACCCAAAAATCCCAGTGCAATCCACAGAACTGACTATGTGAGCAGAGAGTTTGATTCCAGGGCTGCAGAGGGAGACAGAGAAGGAACCTGGACACTGTCCCCGTCGTCGCAGAATTCCACTCTCTGTGTAAGTTCATCTACACAGCAAACCCCAGCATCCCACTGACACACATAGAGAAGGCTTCAGACATCCTCTCCAGGTCCAAAAGGAGAGTTTCAGGGCACAGAGTGAGGCTTGCTGTCTGCAAAAATGAAAGGTCCTTCAGGGCCAGCTTTCCTGGACTTGATCTGCGTGTGTGTCCCTGAGAAAAAATATCGCATCCCTCCATTTGATTTCTCCCACCTGTACAGTGGCACTAATAATAGTTAAAGCATTTCAGTGTGGTTGCGAGCCTAGAGAGACGCAATTTATGTGAACCAATTAAAACCATGCTTGGAGCATAAGAAACCCAATAGCTTAAGTCACAACTGTTGCCATCGTAGCTGGCATCATGCAGCGTCCTTAGAACAGTGCCCAGCCTATAGCAGCACAGTGGGGACGGCCTGCTGTCACAACCACCTGGAACTCCATGGTTTCCACATGGTGACTGGAGCATCAAATGGAGGAGGGGGGAGACTGTTTCCAGCTAGACCGACAGGCCGGATAAAACACCACAACTGGTACTCCACACCTCTCTGATGCCTAACTCGGGGAGTCTATGAAGACTCCTGGGTGAGGATGTAGGACTTTCTGTCTTCCACGCCTATGGCACTGAAAACCAAATTACCACCCAGAAAGGAAACTGCCAGGTTGCCCTAAAGCCCTTTCTTGGGAGTTGTGAACACTTGAGATTTAGAAAACACATATAAAATACTCAATAGCACGAAAAACTTGGCAAGGGGACAGACTAATGTTTCGCTGTTGCTATTGTTTTAAATTATCGCTGTTTCCTGGAAGCTGTGCTCAAGTAGAGGGGGCAGGAGAGTAACCCTTGTCCTGGGATCCATTGTGGGGGCCCTGCGGGCTGAACTGAGAGGTTGCATCTGTGGAAGATGCAGTGTGCACCCCAAGCCCGACGAGGCCTGCTCCGGGCCCTGCATCTCCCTCTGGCGGAGCTCCAGCTGCTTCTGCCAAGGGTGACTCAACACACTCAGCAGGCCTGATCAAATTCGCCTGTCCCCGTGGGTCTCACCATAGCAGAAAGTACACCGCTGGAGTTGCTCTAGCGCTGGCGCTGCGTCAGTCCCGGAGGGAACCACGACGACTTGGAATGTGCCCGTGTCATCAATCTAGAAGAAGCAAGGGAAAGAATTGCTGAGCGGGTTGGGCTTGGAGGAACCTTCCAGCCCGGCTCAAGAGCTGAGGTCAGGGGAGGGCAACCCCACAAGGCTGCTGGGAGGTGGCCCAGCTGGTTTTGGGGTTCTCCCCTTGAGCTGCCAAACAGGAGAGCTCACCATTGCAAAGCAGTTACTGGCACACAATGGGTGCCTTGTGGCTCAGCCGGGACCACAAAACATTTCGTATCCATCACCCAGCTAGCCAGGGCATAGCCCCATCTCCATTCTTCATCTAGAGGGACTGAAGCGCAGAGAAATGATCAGCTGATCAAAGGAGGCAGTCTACACTCAAGTTCATTATGGAAAAGAATGAAACTCCTATTCCTACCCCGCTTCCCCTGGCCTCACCCCAAGTCCCAGAGAACCAAGAAGCTGTACTCAAGTTGACAACCAAAATTAGCCATGCCATTGTTTTCCCTTTCTGGTGAACTAGGCACTAAAGCAGAGATGCTCAGACCCAGGCCCAGGTGGGTCTCCTCCCCGAACAATCTCAATCCTTTCGTGGCAGCAGTACTGTTAGCAGCCTACCTAGGGAGCGCGAGGGCGCAGTCTTGACTAGTGCCCCGGCACGAGTGGCCCTATTCCACACCGTTGGTGCTTTTGAGAGACAGCTACAGTGTCTCAAGTGAACCACACCTTTGCTCCACCTGAACAGTGATGAGTGACTGAAGACTGAGCCAGGGCCAGCTCAGAGAGCATGGATAAGGATGCTCCAACTGACCACGGACTTGCCTGTCAACTGTGAGATATTAGTAGATGAAGGAAAAGTATAGTGGCCCCATCCTGTGACTGAGATGGGTCAGATGATGTTCTCAGTGAATCATTCTTAGACGCTTAATAGCTCTCCTCTCTCTTTGGCAAGTCTCACTCCCACCTTTAATCCATGGAGGTGCGACCATGGAGGTCCTGGTTACTCAGGGTTACACCGTTTCTCTGAGCAGAGCCACCTGGACCAGAGCAGGACATGAACCAGACTGAACTGTTCTTTCAGGAGCCGAGAACTGGAGTCCTGGGGGCTGCTGGGCTGTTCTAGAGACAAGAGTCTGCAGAGACGTGGGACTGGGGGCATATTCCATGTGTGGGCTGAGGAAGGGGAGGAAGGAGAAGAGAAGAAGGGGCTCTTCCCAAGGTTTAGCTGTTTCTGCCCATTTTCTGTCCTGTGCACCATAGATGGAGGAACTGGTGCTCACCAGATACCTCTTTGGCTATCCAGGACTTTGCCTTGATATTCTTTCTGAGATGGAGTGGAAGACTGAGATCTTGTGAGAACTGGAGACTTGGGCTACACTGTTAGACACAAATCCATGGAGAAAGGCTCAGAGTATACCAGAGAAAGACAAAGAAACAGAAAACAACAAAAGCAAGCATGATGTGTCATACGGGGGTGGGCATGGAGGTTGGACAGTGAAGGGGACAGGAGATGTCATGCCGTGAACAGGGACCTCGCATAGTGGAATGCAATACTCTGCTTCCTCTTGCTATCTTCAGTAAAGTCAGCCTCGCTTGCTTGCGGGCTGTGCAAATGGATTCTCAGGGGGAAGGGCTGTCAATAAACAACGACTAGACACCAAGCCATGTCGTGTCAGCTCAGGGAGTAGGGGTCAGCCATCTGGGGTAGGAGTGGACTGCAAGGACGAATCAGAATAAGCCAGAAGAAAATTTAGAAACCATGTAGCCAGCCTCATCACTTTACAGACAAAAGTGAGCCCAGGGTAGGAGTGGGGACCCCAAGGCTTCAGCGCCAGGTCTGCTCTTTCCCAACAAAAACCAGCTTCCACGCTCCAGCCGCTTCAGAGTCCTAGCCGTGGATCTTAATTGAGAGCGACATTTCTCAGGGTATTGTCCAGGGAACACTGCCATCTGCTAACTAGCTTTGCGTTCTGTGTATCTACAGTGTAACAACTTGCACGTTTCTGGCCCCGGCCCCGCTGAACAATGGATGCTCACATTTAGTCATGCATCTTCCCGATGATAGAAAGCTAAACGCAGGTCGTCCTCAAAGATGCTGATCAATTGTTCTATTAGGGAGGGCCCACAGGTAACCTGCACGCTCCCAACACCCCAGCAAGACTCTTCAGAAAGTCTGGAAGATGTGGTTTTGGAACCACTGATCCCACTGCTTACTATGGCAGTGACTGTAGTGGCAGAAAACTTCCCTAAACTGAGCGTGAGCTGGGGGTTTAAAATGAAAGTTTCTGTGTTTGTTTTCTCTTATTGCTTATTTTCCTGGGAAGCGCAAGGCCTCAGCCGCATGGCTGAGAGCACAGCTGACTGCGTGCGGATGACGGTGCAGGCGCTCTCTGGATGGTTCTGGACTGCTTTTCCTTCACAGGCGCCACAGAACCCCGTAAGATGGCACAGGAGAAAGAAATGAAAAAGTTTTCATTCTTTAGAATGCACAGAGAGGGTTGGGGGGAGCCGGCATGTTAGCTAGTTTTATGTCAACTTGACCCAAGCTAGAGTTATCTGAGAAGTACGAACTGCATTTGAAAAATTGCCGCTTAAGACTGGCCTGGCGGTGAGTCTGTGAGGTATTGTCTTGATTAATGGCTGATGTGGAAGGCTCCATCCCACAGGGAGTGGTGCCACCCCTGGGTAGGTAGACCTGGCTTCTGTAAGAAAGTAGACCTTGTTCTGAAGGCAAGACAATGTAGCCATACACTTCCTTAGGAGGTTTCTGAATATTGGTGAAGTCGATGAACAGTGTTTTATGCAATGCTTACCGAAAAGGCACGCTTGATGGAGGGCACATTGCTGAATGCAATCACCACTGGCACAATGTCCAGGGCACTGAACTCCATGGCAGCCGTGGTGATGGACTGGGCATCGGCCGACTGACCGCTGCTGAAAAACGTGGCGATTTTCCTCACGTGAGCCCCTGGCAGGGTTCGCTTGAAGACATTCCTGGAGATGAACCTCATGGCTTTGCCAATATCCCTGCTGTCAGAGGATCTCTCATAAGGAAGAGCTTCAATTTCCCTGAGCAGCTGGTCCTTCCTGTAGGTGTCTGAGAAGCGGATGATGTGCCTGGTGTGGGAGTTATAGGAGAGGATGGCAACACGTGCACCCACAGGGCAGCTGGTCTCCCTGACCTTGACATCCCTAACTAGGGAAACCATCATCCCCTTCATCCGTTCAAAGTCCTGCTCCGTGACGTCCCGGGACTGGTCCAGGACAAACACCAACTCAGTTGGATGCACTGGGCACTCAGGTTTTTCTGAAAGATACACACATACATACACATACACAAAATGCCTCTTATCATGTAGAACGCTTGCCTAAAAGCAATACATGGAAAACAAAATCGTTTAAATGCTAACTATTCAAATATTTAAACATTAAATAATTAATAACCCAAATATTAAAACATATAAAATATTAAATGTTTACATCCTGAATCATTAAAATCGCTGTTCTAAAAGCTGGCTCTGCTCTCCTGAGATGAACGTGAAAGAAAACAGTCTAAAGTCAGCACGATTAGGGATAAAATCTGTAAGTTCATTTCCAGTTCCTTCTAAACAGTGGAACCTTTTTGACAATATCCTTTACCCTCCAGGAGCTGGCTCAGAGGCGTAGACTTTTGTGTCTTCACTTTAATCATGGGAAACCACAAACTGTTTTCACTTAATGAGAAAACAAAAACAAGGTAAAAAGGATTTTAAAGGAAATAACTATGTAAACTCCTTCTATAATTTTTAAAAACCCTGGAGGATAAGGGTCTAGGGTGTAGCTTACTCAGTATGGTGTCACCTGACAAGTACATAGCCCTGGGCTTGAGACCCAGCACCCTATCACACAGATACAACAGTTTATGCCTGTAATCCCACACCTGGGTGGTAGAGCCAGGAGGATCAGAAGTTCAAGGTCATCCTGAACTCCAGAGCGTCACAGACAAAAGGAATGATTCCAGGACCAGTTATAGCACTTGTTGAAAGCCAAATTAATCCATCTTGGGGGAGATGGAACAAAATGTATTAGCCTCTGACTCTAATTACTGGGATAAGCATGTTTTTCAAAATCGAAGTGATGTTAATTTTACAATTAAAAGGTGAATGCTAACTAAGTGTGAATTTGGTGCTTCTAGCTTTGTGTTTGGGTTGTTTTGTACAGGGTACAAAACCCAGCAATGATGCCGGAATAATTTAGAGGTACAGAGAAGTAAAGGTTAACAGCACCCTCTGAAAGCACAGAAAAACTTTTCTTTTTCTAGGTAAAAAAAAAAAATTACTTAAGGGCTAATTCAAAGTCTAGCCTTGAAGCCAACATACTGCTTCCAGGAGCCCCAAGGACTCTGGAGAGCACACTCTGATGGCTTCTGCCATCACAAAGCAGGCGACATCTCTGCCTACACACCCACTACCCTACCAACTCATCCTCTGGCCCTGTCAATAATTAAAACTGTTTATTTGAAACTTCCTTATAATAAACAGATTAGCCAGACCCGAAGTCTATACATCCCAGTGAGCTTCTATACGTTAGACTAGCCGCTCTGAAGCCGAGAGCTTCACATTCGATTTTACGCTTTCACTGTTGATTCTGTTTGTATCCACTTATGCACAAGAGAACCTAAAACATCCACAACACAGTTCAAACTAAAAAAGCAACTAGCTTTATATCCTCTTCCATAACTGTGTCTTTACCTGCATCCGGTCCTTCTCACCGCCTACTTGCCATTTCTTGTTCTCCTTTCTGCATGTCATACAGTACCCCCACGTATGACAGGCTATGAGGGAGAACATGATTTTCTGAGATTATGTGACCTCATTTAACATCGTGCATCTCAAGTCCATCTATTTTCTGCAAACTGATTTTCCTTCAGAGCGGACTTTTAGTCCACCCCATATATTAGCCGGCAACAACCAGCCTGCTGTAGCCTCTAGGCTCCGCCTCTATTTGTTTAATGTGCTGGTCGTCCCCATCACTGAGCCACAGGGTTAGTGGGCTCTGCTGCTTCCCGGGGGATGTCTAGGTCTGCCTTGTTCTAAGGAGTTGGTATTTGAATTCCCCAGCCCAGCACTTAGAAAACTGTGGCTCCTTTAGTCCTGACTTCAAGTTCACTGCTTCAGAGAGGAACACTGGTCCAAAGCATACCCATCCCCCGGACATGATTTAGCTGCAGTGAAGCCTGTGCTTTATCTCAGATTCTGAATTCTTTTGTTTTTTATCTGGACTCCCCTTGAGAATGGAAATGTGTGAGGTTGGGAATCTTGTCTGCTGTCAACTCTGTCCCCAGCAGAAAACAGGAGACTAGATTAAAGAAGGCCTTCAATAAATCCATGTTGAAGGAATGAATCAGCAGAGGGTAAAAGCTATTGAATTTATATAAGGGGATATATATGCATATATACATATGTATACATACATTCACGTGTATGTATATATTTGTGTATTTATATCAGGCTGATAATGGGGTTATACAAATATATCACGCACTAAGCCTTGGCATTAAAATGAGACTAAAAGATACCGAGCCAGGTTGGCAATTAACATTAAGCCTGAGCTATGGAAGTCTCGGCGTTATCTCCACCGCACGTCTTGCTCACTTGTTATCTGATCCTATTTTCCTTCTGCCCTCTGCCTCTTAATCACTGAACTACAGAGACTACATGACAGAGAGGGGGAAGAGAAAGGGAGAGGTGGAGTGGGAAGAGAGACGAAGAGAGGATGGGAGAGAGAAGATGAGATAAAGAGAGAGGGGAGGAGGGAGGAAAGATAATTTTTAAAAAATCAGATAGTGAGGTGAATGGTGATGTATGCCATTAGAAAGTTATTGACAATGAAAGGGCCTCCCAGCGGTGAAGTTCAGCATAGAGTCATAGAGGCAAGGGTCTGCTGTGAGTCTGAGTAAAGGAAGCCTGGGTCCAAGTTCTACCAACTGGCAGGCAGCACCATGCTTGACCTCATCCTTCCAGACCGGGGGAGGGGGGCGGGGGCACCTTAGAGCTGGAGCAGTGCATGCGGTAAGGTAAATGACGATCACTCACCACGTCCGCCGCAGGCTGGGGAGGAAGAACAAAAGGGAGGGGTTATTCCTCAGTGGACAAACAGGGTTCTAGAGTGCACAGGGAAACCAGAGCAGTGAAGTCCTGCCTGCTTGCATATTGAACTCAAAACTCAAGGCCGCAGACAGTCTAGAGAGAATGCAGACTGTGCCTGGCCTGCATCCTGGTAGAGCAGGATCCCCTCCAGAGGGGAGGAGCTAGGGGAAGTAGGACAATGTACAGCCATAAATCAGCCCCTGCAGCCAGATGCCGGAGATGGAAACCATGTCTATGAGAACATGATGTTGCGGAGCTGAACTCAACTTGGGAAGTTAGAGGGACCCAACCTCTCTTTATAATTTCTCATGTACAAATCTGTAGATGTCAACTATATATGTGCATACATGCATGTGTGTATTCAATACACGAATGCACACATACATGTATGTGTCTTTTGTTGGGCTTTCTTATTTTTTTTAAGGAGGTATAGGAGTAATGGGGACCAAGCTCAGGACTTCTCTCACGTTCTCATGACCAGCTAAGGACTCTACCACTGTGTCTTCTGCAGTGCTGGGGACTGTGCTCCACCAATAACCTACACCCCGAGATCAAATATATACACATATATGCATGCCATGCAATTATGTGCGTACATATAAATTTGATGTCTCTATGCACACATAGTATATGTCTGCTTGAGTTGAGTTTCTCTATCTGAAAGGCTAGGACCACTAGTGTTACTGATTTCAGATTTTTTTTCAGTTTTGGATATTTATACATAAACCCAGTAAGATCTCTTAGAGGCAGACTCAAGTCTCAAGACAAAAGTCCTTCTGTTTCATAAACACTGACGTTGTGTAAAACGAAGGTGACCTTATACACTGTATTTAGGGTGCTATGTTTTGACTACAGCTTGTCACACGAGGGCAGGTGTGAACTTTCCACTTGTGACATTGTGTCAGAACTCAAAATGTTTGGGGGTTTGGGAGGGTCACCCTGTATAGGGACATGTTTTGTATCATGCAATTAAAAGTTAATACCAATACCCTGAAAGAAATAAATATTGGCTGGACCTGCAGTGTCTGGTCACAAGTCATGCATAGTTGTTTAAATTTCAAATAATCAAGTGAAAAATTTAGCTTCTAGGTGACATTCTTCACATTTTGGTGTCCAAAGCCACACGTGACTGGCAGTGAGGCTGCTGAATGGTGCAGGGGGCACCTCCACCACGTCAGGTTGTTCTACTGGGCAGTGCTGCTTCGGGACACTCATTTGCAGAGGTTTCCTCCTCTGCAAGACCCAGTCTGGGAGGAGTCCTGACTATGTCCACAGGGCCATGTGCTTTTATGTTCTAAGTCATACTCCTTAAGTAATTTTGTGTGCCAGATGTAATTTTGGACCAGATGTGCTAGATGGAATCCTCACACTTTGAAAGATCAGGCCCCACTCTTGGCTCTGCCACTCATGACTACTGTCCGCTTGGTTCCCATGCTAGGAAAAAAACCTACTGCGCTAATTCAACCTCAAAATGACCTATTTTTGTGGACTCGGGTACAGGCTTTGATTCCCACCAGCGTTCCTTTCTGCTTCGGAAAGGCAGAGTCCTGAGAAGCTTGACTGAATGGCTTCTAGAACCATTAAAGTTCTGTGGCTCTGGGCCTGGGGAGATGGCTCAGTGGTTAAGAGCACGTGCTGCTCTAGCAGAGGACCTGATTTGTAACTCCAGTCTGTAACTCCATCTGTAACTCCAGTCTAGGGGATCCGATGCCCTCTTCTGGCTTCCACGGGCACTGCATGCATGTGTTGCGCAGACACTCTGGGGCTCACACACACATATGAACATACAAAACAAATGTTTGCTTTTTAAAATCTCTGTGTCTTGGAATAATGCCCTATATAGAAATGGGCTATGCTTCATCTGTGTTTTTTTCAAAAAAAAATGCCTTGAAGAAACTTTTAACTCTTCCTTTCATTTGCCATGTTTACTCAAGAAGTACTATGTATATTTCAATGAGCAGCTGACACAATGAAGGTGTTTGTGAATACAGAATTATAACATTAGTTGATATTTATAATCATAAGAATATACCCTGTTACAAGGGCCTCAAATTCAAAGAGCTTTTTGCCAAATCTGAATGCCTTTTTGCTTTTTATAATTTTGAGAGAGAAAATTATTGGCAGAATAAGCATTATTGTGAGTTTTATAAGCCAATCAATCATTTCAGTCAATCTCACCTTTCCAAAAAAGGAGAAATAGAGCATAAACCAAAAGTGGGGCTTCCACCCTCCGACCCACCCACCCACCCACTCTCACCCACCCACTCTCTCACCCACCCACTCTACCCACCCACTCTCTCACCCACCCACTCTACCCACCCACTCTCTCACCAGGATACATCACAGCTGCCTCTTCACACTGTCGAACCCAATCTCGTCAATTACTATCTGACATTAACAATCAATCATCTTAAACTCAGCTCGGTATGACTCTTCTTTTCCCTGACTTATTTGACCATTGGGAAAGTTCTGACCTCCATCTTCTACGGGTTTAAAGCCCCCAGTGTACATAACTACACAGCACACAGGCTGGCAGCCAGAGAGGGGGTTAGTATAATAGGCTCCACCCCCTCCTCCCTGTGGACTCAAAATTTACTCAAGCCATCTCTCATGAGAAGAGACTGGTTGACCAACCGCATCTGTTCTGAGAACCCAGTTCCTAACTTCCTTCTAAGAGAACTGCGAGAATGGGGGTGGGGCGGGGGTCATTTTAAGCAGGATACTTACGACTGTGGTCCCTCACGTACTGAATGAGGTCACATGTCTGTAGTTCAAAGAGAAAACACGGAGAATTAACCATGTCCCTGGGTCACGAAGTGTATACATGAAGCCAAAGGCATGCTCAGGTTACCGTGTTGGCATAGGAGATACTTACAGAAAATGAAGCCACTCCTTGGGCCCCTTTTATACCCTAGGAAAAGAAACAAGCAAACTTGTTTTAGGGCTGCAGACTAATGCCTCAGTAGCCAGGCTATGCACCAACGCGGCCCCGAGGAGCCCTTAGGAAAGGGTTTCTTCCTGTGGAGTTAAAGGGAGCAGAGAACACAGGTAGGGCACTCACCGCCCCGTGAAGACAAACACACGCCTCCAAGGTTAAGTTCCCCAAATCCTGGCAGAGATGCCCAGAACCTGACAGAGCTGCCCACCTAACGGTGGCCCACAGATCTTCGGAGCGGGTGTTTCAGCTCACAACTCAGAAAGACGGAGCCACCTGCTCCCCAGCTGCCTCTCCTGTGCCCAAGTCTTGGAGTATTCTACCCGATGTTGGATCTCCACCGTAAATAGTGGAGTAGTGGTCAAAGCCTAGCCGAGCGCATTCCTATCCATGGCTGAGGCACAAAGGGGCTAGCTTCAAACACCTGAAGAGCTAATCTCAGCTTCTTCCCCAAATGAAGAGAGACACGTGAATGTCCGGGTGGAGGGTGGGAAGAACAAAGCTGGCTGAACTTCTTATTGCAACCCCTTCCTGGGACGGGAAGAATCTGACTTCTCTCAAACAGAAACATCAAAGGGAGATGCGGGGTGCCCCACCCAGACTCCCAGGTATGCTCCCCAGGAAGGACTGCAGCAGCTTTAATCACGTGCGCCGCTCACCGCTTGTCCTATCACACACTCCCGGCCTTATTCATTCATCACTTGCTCCTCTAGGAGGGAGGCCGTGGCTGGACCTTAACCCAGCTCACTGAGAAGAATACGAAATCTCAGGTTAACGAGATGGCCCAATGGGTAAAGACACTTGCAGCCATGCCCGATGACTTGAGTTCAGTCACCACGACCCAAAGTTGTTCTCTGACCTCCACAAGTGTGCCATGACATATGCCCCACCTCCCAACTAAATAAATCTATAAATGCAAAAGAAAATACTTTCCCCCGTTTTGGACTGATTTTTCACGCTCTCCCTCCATTCCCTCCCTCCCAAGAGATATACTTATTGACCCCATTTTCTCCCTTATACAAAATATTGGAAATTGTGGCCAAACAGTGGAGGAAGAAGCTGTGTGCACCTGGAGAGGGGTGTGCCCATGCTCTGACCGCTAAGGCACAAAGAGCTCACAGGAAGTAGTCCCACTCACCTTCCGTCCAGGGGGTCCTGGCTCCCCAGGGGATCCTGGATCTCCTGGCTGCCCAGCAGGAACCTCGAAGCAGAATGGGTTCACTTTACAATTATGTTCTAGACAACATGTGAACGGTTTAAATGCAAACTTAAAATCCTGACACTATTTTAAAAGTAGAACTCTGAAAGCAACAACATCCATCCATTTTCATCTTAGAAAATGGACAGATTTCTAAAACACACAGAAGGGGACCCCCAGCAACAGCCTGTTCTTCACACAGTTTATTAATCGATTGCTACTTTTCTTGTTCTATTGGTATTTAAAAAGATGTCTTTTTAAAGTCTGTTTTGTATCATACTTTTTCCCAAAGCCTCTATTTTGGCTTTGTTTCTGACATAAGGTCTTCCTGTATAGAGAAGACTGGCCTTCAATTTACTAATCTTGCCTCTGTCTCCCGCGCTCTGGAATGACAGCGATGTATTACCATGCCTGGCTCTCAGCTACCTTTTAAATTTACATACATACATATATACATATTTCCGTCACTAAATATTCTTATACACAAAATCAGGTCTCATGGCTTCATGTATTTTACTATGTGAAGAAGGCATGATTTAATTAATTGGTTCCTTGCTGTTGGCATTTAATTTTTATGCTGTTAATAAGCATATGATTATGAAGTTATATACACAATTCTGATGATTAGTTAAGATTTCTAAGACTAGAATTGTTGGATCAAGAAAAAGTGGTTTTCTTAAGAACAAGAAGGTAACTAAATTGAAACACACACACATACACATACACATACACACAGATATATACATGCGCACACAATTGTGATCACTTGCTAGTGTTTGGCTGGGGGCTTCACCCCAGCTCCTGCCATAAACTTTCTCCCCTGGGAGTTGCCTCAGTCCAAACTCCACCTCAGAGAAAGCCCACCAAACGGTAATCCCTCACCAGGGAAGGTCAAACTACAGAAAAATCTTTAAGCCTCTTGTACTCAACAGCAAACACTACTTCTAGGCTGGTGTTCTCCAAAGATTATGGAGAGACTTGGGACTGTCTGCAAAGCTAAAAACGCTTTTTCGTTTCTGCTCATTTATGCCCCTTAGATCTGTCTAATGGCATTTGATGACTTAAGGTACTGGTAACTCAATACTTCATTTGTTAAGTTTCCTGCTAAAATATAGGTGTGCCTTTTTAACAGGCTTCATAGTCCAGGACTAAAAGGTTTCAAATTTATCTTCAGAGGTTCAGAGTTTCCAATTCCCTTTAATTGTCTTCTAAAATGTTCCTACCTTTTAACCCAAAGCCATAGCCTTTTGCTATGACACCAAGATGTAAATCTGTTCCAGTTGTCTTACAGATACCTACAGGTTCCTGGGAAAAAGTTCTGCTGCTGTATCAAAAATCAGGTCTGGTAAAAACTAACAGTCTCCAAAGGCTATTTTAACTCCATCCATTTTCAAGCATATTTTACAGGTCACTCCTGCTGTCTGGGCCAAGACCAACTTACAAAGTGATCTCCAGACAACACCAACACCTGCACCAGCCCTTGGCACTTCACCATTTGTATCAACTCTCCTGACTCAAGGACACCTATCAACTAAAATCTGGTTTTATCTGCTCTTGTGTACCACTTATACACCCGAGCCTCACCTGTACAACCAGGGCACACTTCTCTGTCCCATTCTTTTTGCCATCCCATGGAGATGAAGGTCTTTTGATGACAATTAGGGTAGTTATCAATCTGATTACAGGAGAAGATGGTAGCATTCAGGCACTCTCTCCTCTCTTGCTAGGAGTCTTAGCTGGGGGTCATCCTTGTGGATTTCTTGAAGTTTCCCTAGCACCAGGTTTCTTTCTAACCCCATAATGGCTCCCTCTATCAAGATATCTCTTTCATTGCTCTCTCTGAATGAATTCTCAACAGAAGAATCCCAAATAGCCAAAAGACACTTAAGGAATTGCTCAACATCCTTAGGCATTAGAAAAATGCAACTCAAAATGACTCGGATGTCAGAATGGCTAAGATAAAAAACACTGATGACAGCTTATGTTGGAGAGGATGTGGAGTAAGGGGAACACTCTTCCAACTGCTGGTGGGAATGCAAACTTATCCAGCCACTTTGGAAATCAGTATGGCAGTTTCTCATAAAACTGGGAATCACTCTACCTCAAGACCCAGTAATACCACTCTTGGGTAATAACTCAAAGGATGCTCAATCATACCACAAGGACATGTGCTCAACTATGTTCACAGCAGCATTATTCATAATAGTCAGAACCTGGAAACAACCTAGCTGCCCCGCAACTGAAGAATGGTTAGAGAAAATGTGGTACATTTACACAATGGAGTATTACTCGGTTGTAAAAAAACAATGACATCATGAAATTTGCAGGCAAATGGATGGAACTAGAAAACATCATCCTGAGTGAGGTAACCCAGACCAAGAAAGACAAACATGGTATTATTCACTCATACGAGGATATGAGATGCAAAGCAAAGGATAACCAGGCTACAATCCACAGTCCCAGAGAAGCTAGGGAACATGAAAGACCCTAAGAGGAATACATGGATAGCCCTAGGAAGGGGAAATTGATAAGATCTTCTGGGTAAACTAGAGGCAGGGGATAAAGTGAAGGGGAAAATTAATAAGAACAATAGATTTTGTTTAAGAAGAAACAACATTGTTTTCTTCATTCAGAATGCCACTGGAGAGGAGGCTACAGAGACTTCTCAGAGGTTAAAATCACCTCTCACTTTTCCAGAGGATCCAACTTTGGTTCCCAGCACCCATGTTGTGGTCCCCACACCTGTAATTCCAGCTTCAGGGGACCCAATGCTCGCCTCTGGCCTCTACATACAGCTGTACTCATACACATATCCACAGATAGACACATACACACAAGGTTTTTAATGCTACAGGATTTATATTCTTTACAGTAATAAGTGAATTTATCTAAAAATTAACTTATAAAAGCATGGCCTGTGGAGAAGAATCATTAATGTCTCCACAGTGTCCAAATAATATTGACAGTATTAAAAAAACAGAACTTAGTGACTTCATTTTATTTAAAAGGGATGTTTAGCTTCAAGAGAAAAGGGAGGCAAGTTGAATACTTTTGTCCATTTCTAATATTTTAACAATAGATTTTAAGTAAAAATCAACAGGATAAGGAAAAAGAAGAAGCTTTAGTGTTTGGGAGCCTGGAAAGCAATCAAGTGTGTGTGAGATGGCGTGGCAGACCTGAGGAATGTGAATCCTGAGCAGGCAGCAGAGAAGTCAAGAACCAGCACGTTTGGTTTCCCACATTCCCAGAAGGCCCAGCTTCGGGAGCCATGGGGGGAGGGGCAGGTGCCTCCAGAAGCAGAGGGGAAGAGGCTAAATAAGGAGGATTAGTGGGGAAATCACTCTATGAATTCTCCACTCTCTGCTTTTAACAGGTAGTTGGATACACCTTTCTCCATCAGCAAAAACCAAAGAAAACAGGAGTGAGACTCTCAGTAGAGCTGAGAACCAGTGTTACCACTCTGAACCAGGAGACCAATGAAAATATGCACACTGAGTGAGTAAGAGCCTCTCATTGCCCTTGTGTCTTCTAGAAAACTGGCATCCAGATCCGAGCTCCCCAGAAAGGGGTAGAGGAAGTTGCAGGGTTGTTAAGCAGAGAGGCCCATCAGATCATTGTACAGTGAATGCATATCTGACAAACTCCAATCGTGTCTTCCAGGTTCCCGATCAGACTTTGCTGTACTCAGTTCTCAATGGGAATGCACAGCTCATTCTTGAGACATACGAGAGATAAAAGTCAAAACAGAAGAAAAAAACTGAAGGAAACAAACTGTGTTGAGCAAAGAAGGCCAAAAATACTCATTTATAACCTCAGAGAGATAAGAGAAAAATGCTTAATCATGAAACAAGAATAGTATAATACCGAAAAGGGACAGATTTTAGCAACAAAGGTAAAAGTATAGGATATATGTTAAAAATAAAAATCAAGAAACCGTCTCAGAAAGAGGAGAAAAACATCAAAGAGATGTTAAAAAATAAGATACAATAAGAAATAAAATAAAGGACTATATTATTACACTGAATGATAGGTATTTAAAAATATAAAATAGAGAACACTAGAGCCAGTGGATACAAACCAACAAAAGAATAAGCATTTTCTAGAAAAAAGGGCACACATTTCTAGGGCCAAGGGGCCTGTTTAATGCTCAGGAAAAATGGATAAAAATGGGCCATGTGCCAGATTGCAAAACCCATGGCAGATTGAAACGCTAGTGACCGAGAGGCCATCTTATGGGGTTCCAGAGAAAAAACACTGACTGATAGGAATCTGTATGGCCTTGGACTTCCCAAAGCAACAAAAGAGCCCAGAAATAACAGAAAACATAACTGCTTTCAAAATTCCAAGGAAGTATGTCCAGCCCAGAGCTGTGCACTAGCCAAAATATTGACACATCTGGAGGTAACAAAAATCATTTTCAGATGCTGGTAGTATCATCAACTGTTCCTGCCAGTCATCTCCTCTTAGCAGCGTGTCATGTTTGCACGTGACATGACCTCTCCCCCAGCTTATGTTCTGACCTCTTGGTGTCCAGATGCTGGCCCTATGCGGGGAGGTTTTGGAAGATTTGGGAAGTAGAGCTTAGCTGGAGAAAGTAAGTCACACAAAGGTACGCCTAAGGAAGTAAATCAGTAAGTCGCGCAAAGAGCAAAAGTGTGCCTTAAAGCTTAGATTGGGACCTCAGTCCTCTGTTTTCCTCTCTTCCCCACCCATGAGCCGCCAGACGTGAACCAAATGACTACAGACTGAATCCTCTGATACTGGGAACCAGAACAGTGATAAGGTTCCTGGCAGAGGTTTCTGTGATGGAAGTCCAGGAGGGTGTGACAGTGGGATGAGAGGGAGAGACCTGACATGGGTGGGGTGGAGGGGATCTCAGAACCTGGTGCCGGGCCCCTGCAGAGCAGCAGTGGACACCAGGCCTGCTGCACATGCAAACGTCTTCAGAGAGTGTGAAGAGCAATGTGAGGTCAACAGAGGGGACCCCCAACTTTATAGTAGAA